TGTGATACGGCGCCCACCGAGAGGGGGACTGGGTCCCGACACGGGGGTGGTGGGGGGGGGACGGGGGCGTGGTTTGGGTTTAGTGGCGGGGGGACGAGGGCGTGGATTGGGTTTGGGAGTGGGGGACGAGGGTATGGATTGGGTTTGGTGGGGAGGGAACGTGGGTGTGGATTGAGTTTGGGAGTGGGGTACATGGGTGTGGATTGGGTTTGGAAGGGGGACGTGTGGATTACATTTGGGAGTGGAGTGAATTGGATTTGGGAGAGGGGTGGGGTCGGGATTGCGTCTGGTGGGGGTGGATTGGGTTTGTGGAGGTGGGGAGTCTGGTGCAGTTTATGTTTGGGTAGGAAGGACATTGTTTTTGGTTTGTGAGGGACAGAGAGGCCATGGAGCACAATTGAAGGGTGGCAGGTTATAGTGCAGTTTTCTGAGAGGGAGGGTTAGTTGGGATTTTCTGGGATTGGGGTAATGATTAGAGAATCATCACCTTCAGGGAACGAAGCGAAACATGTTGACAGACTCGTGTGAAAAGTTGTATTTGAGAGTTGGAACTATTCACAATATCTTTGACAGTGGGAATGTAACATGGTAGGACTTTGGAGCAGAAGTCGGCTTTTTGGCACTTTGAGCCCGCTCTGCTATTTAGTAAGTTCCTACCTAACTGTGGTCTCCGTTCCTCTTCGCTGTCTGCAACCAAGGCTCTGTTATCTCCCAAAACTCTCCCTCAGCCTTGGGATAAATTCCATTGCCTACCCTCTGCCGTTTTCCATAAAGTTTGCAGTCCGGGATTTTAGGAATTCTTCAAACCTCTAGTTGGTGCTAACGTATAACTGGTCTGTTTTACAGAGTGAGGTGGACCCAGAGAAGAGGTTGGAGATGAGGAATTTTGTACTGTCTGGGATCCTGGCAAGTGAGGAAATCTACTTGAATCAGCTGGAGGCCCTACTCCTGGTATAGAAATATTGCAGTTATTGTGTGGTCTGTGTCACTATGTCTTTTTTATACCCCTTCACAGGATGGCTAGGCCATCCATATTGCCAGAGAGCAGGTAAGGACAGCAGATTACCCTCCCAAAAGGACATTAGTAAATGAAATGGTTTTTACAATTGATGGCAATGGTTATATTCCGGATCTGTATTGATTACATTGAGATTCCACCAGCTGTTGTGAGATTTGAACCTCAGTTCCATTGCCTGAGGCTTCTGAATTACTAGCCCAGTGAAGTTACCACGGTGCCATCATAATCCTGCATGTCTCTACTTTTCTCTGTGTATTTATCTGGAACTGTGTGCTTCCGTATATGACTGTATTTGCATAATTTGTCTGTCCCTCTCTGTCTGTGAGTATCTGTCTGCCTGTATCACTCTATGTGTGTATGTTCCTGTCTGTGTCTCTCTGTATTGGCCTGTATCAGTCTATGTGTGTATGTTCCTGTCTGTGCCTCTCTGTATTGGTCTGTATCAGTCTATGTGTGTATGTTCCTGTCTG